TTTTTAAAGTGAGGGTTGGCCAAATTGCCAAAGGCATTAGGTTGTGACCTTATAACGGTATAACGTTTGCGTAGGAGCTGCTTGCGTCGTTTTCACAATCGAAAGGAACTATTTCGCCAGTTTCGCCGTTGACTGAAGTAATACGCTCTGATACTCGACTTTTCTGTATTCTCTCACCACTACCACTCACCTATAAGCATCCACTATTGTTCAATCCTCTTTTCTCTTTTTTCCTTCCTCTTAAATGCGGTTACTGATCGGAGCACCATCGCCTTCGCTCCGCCCTGCCGCCGCGGTGACGTCAAGAAACCGCGCCGCAACGCGCGGGTGAGTTTTTCCCTCCTCCGAAATTTAGTGAACAAGTGTTCAGTGCTACGCCACTTTTACATGCATTCTACAAATATTGATAATGATAATAGTTGATACTTGAAGTAACTCAGGTACATCTCATACCGGTGCTTTCACTTGGTAATAGTGATAACTGATATGAGCTGATATGTCGACGCTGAATCCGATTGACATAAGAAGAGAAGCCATAGAGACAGGGTTGATACCGACACCCCATAAAGAGAGGAATCCGAAGACCTGGAAACTTTGACGATGAAGACTGTCATGTAGTTGTGCATGAACGAGCGTGGACCACGACTACGGTAGAGGGGGTTGGACCACTACGCGTGCGATCGCGGAACGGAACGCGTCATGCGGTGCTTGCATGCAGCAAATTCTGTGAGCGATTGTCATCCCGTTTTGTAAGAACTATCGTGCAGGTCTCACTAGAATTGAGCAACAGGCAGCAGCTTTTGCAGGCGGTCAGAGATGGCTGCATCGCGACCGCACGCACCGAATGCATCCAAATACACATTGCCCTGTCTACTTACCCCCAGATTGACACTCAGCAGACTGAACATGCCAGCAAAGATAGAGACCATATCCGGAATAAAGATGATGAACGAGATGCCCATACAGATTACTTCCGAATACAGCGTCTGCCAAATGACATCACCAAGAGCATCAGTCTGAAATCACTACTACTATTTTTGCTTGCGACAATCGATAAACGTTTACGTTTTCTCTGGTTTGCAATATTAGACATATTTTTTCTACATTGACAAATTTGCAAGTGCTAATTTTTATTTTCATGTTTACCTGGTCTGCATACGTGCTCCTCTCAGAATACGCGTATACTCCGAGATCGGGATATTTACTGCTGATTGCGCGCCATTCTTGAATAAGTGGGAACATTTCTCTGTAGCTGAAAAAGGGGAAGGTTAGCGCCGCCTAGGTCATGTTAAAAAGACGACAGGCATGATAGTACTGCATAGTTGTAAGTGAGCCTCGAAGGGTCCGTAGCCTCCATTAATACGGATGGGTACTTACACCGTGTGAGATGGCACGCTGTTCGGAGTCGGAGGGGGCTTTTGCACTTTCCGCGACTTCCTCTTGTTAGGTCATTTGGGCTGACAGAACCAATTTGAAGAGACCTGTAAATCCTTGTGAAGGGGTGAAATAGATGAGTCGCTCAAGTAACAGGAATTTACAGGTCTCCACAGAGTGGCCTGTACAGGCTCCGCTGACTACCACTTGATGTCCCCTCCAAATCGACTTGAACGTGAGATAGTGCAGCCACTGGATATCACCTTTTGAGTAGAAGAAGAAAAGAATTCCTTTGAAGCAGCTGGGACAAAACTAGGCAAACTGGGTTTCCCTACCTTGACAGAGTCGTAAATCCTGTGGTGAAGAGGAATGATAACAGGCATGATGGCTCGTTCAGAGCACATGCAGTCTCGTTGATTCGCATCGTTCCTTTCCAATAGGAATCCGAATTGAGGAAGTCCGGAATATGAGCGTAAGTGAAGACAACTTCCTAGAGGAGTATAGTTAGCCAAAAGATCAAAAAAGCAGAAAATACACATACTTTGGGAGAACCATCGTTCTTCCACTAACCTGATCTTCTTCCTCAACTTCGCACGGAACATCAAAAAGTCCATATAAGGTCGTAGGAAGCAAAAGGTTCGCACATCTTGCCATAGCTGAATTCAGAAGTTCCTGTCATCGTCATGCAAAACATATTCTATATATTACCGTATCGCAGCTGTTTATTTGCCGTTATTACGCAGAAAACCCAGCTATGGTGAAAGCGATCTAGCGTAGGTGGTACGCGAATACCCTGCTGGTTTGCATACCTTCTACTGGTAGCATCCTAATCCAACACACTACTGAAACCCAGATATTCCTTCTTTACTTATTCTTATTCCAATAGCAAACATCAAACTTGTTCGCAATAGACTGTACGACAGGCAGTGCATGACACCAGGTTGCGTTATTTGCCCATATGGAAGGGTAGGAGATTGTGAGAAAACCGGGGTAATTTACCAACTTGAATGCAGGGCTTGTAACAGCACGTACATCGGGGAAACAGGAAGGACTTAGCTACTCGCGTCAGGGAACACCTAGCTGGGAAGAGGCGTGATATGATGACAACTCCTCTTGGCAAGCATAAGATTGAGGAGCATAACGGGAATGACTTTGATGTTAGCTGCACTATACTCGGGTACGAGACAGAGATTTCTTGGCAATTTTGATTACTGTGAACGGAGACTCTGTGAGAGCTCATTCGATGCCTTACACTACTACACATAAGCGTGAGCTAGGGCTCGGCACGGTGGAACCTCGTGAGTTGAGCGCAGTTATTACTGGGTTCTTCGGGGTGTTCGGGACACGACGTCGGAAACGCTAGAGTGGGGAAGGCGCTTGATCGGGTAGGTGACAAATTGAAAGCTTTCGAGCCATTTTCGCCTTCTGAGAGGACGAGAAGCGCGAACGCTCGCCAATAAAGGTTCTATCTAAATAACCTCGTTTGCAGAAACAACTAAATATCGACGTCATGCCGAGTTACAGAAGGGGAACTTGGACATCCTTTTTCATTTTTTCATTTTTTTTCAAAATGATATTTAGCTATTTGTTGACTATGCAATAATGCGATTATACTGTTGCGCAGGGATTCCGTTGAACATAGGATAGAATAAATCGAAAAATCATGTGTGGGCAGGTACAACATCATTAGGGGCACAGCCTCAGTAAGGTGGTTGCGTGCGCCTAGAAGCGGTCCTATTTGGCTGTGTCGAGAATTTTTCCCCGCGGCATGGAAGTTTTTCCATTTGTTGGCCCCCTTTCAGTTGCTAGCCCCACAAAACTGCTCTGAATTACTATTTCTTGAAGCTGAAGTCAGTAGTTAAAGGCAAAGCCCGCGATCACTCGCTATCACAGATAGTGGATTAGAGGTCTGCATATAGACGACAAGGTTCTGAGTAACTCGATAGTGAAGAAAAAAGCAGAAAAAAACATGCCAACTGCCCTGGATAGGACCCTATTTCAGTCCCTTTCTAAGTGCCCGATGTACTCCATCTCCAACACTATGCCCTCATCCGCACAGCTGGTTTTCCCGATGAGAACTCTACGACCGTACAAGTGACGATTTTCATGCTTTTTCGTCCTGCAGCTTCGTTTTTCGCTGAAAGGCGGGCCTTGAAGGCGGAGTCTGGAGGCGGAGTCACTGGAAAAAGGAGGCGTCACTGAACCTATTTGCGTTATAGCGCCCCTCCCTTACAATTTTTTGCCGCGAAACCGGTACAAGGTTGTTCGTCGCGGACCACACTACCCTCCCGATGCCATATTTTCAACTTCTATACCTGATCGCGACCGTGCCTTTAAATGGTGGGAGAGCCCTCTCACTCCTGTCCGACGGCAGTTTTGGGGAGAAAATGGAAAAGTTCTG